TTTTTTTTTTTTTTTATGCTCTCCATCCAGGCAATGCTGGTAATGAGGGGGGAATGGGGAAGGGGGGGAGGTGGAAGGGGGAGCTTGGTTTAGTTGGTAACAAATTAACGAGGTTAATGATGTATTTTGATATAAAATGTTTTAGAATTCATAATTCACATTTTATCGTTTAAAATCCAATAAATTAGTTTCAGCTCTCTTCAACGCTATTTTCATGCAAAGTAGGTAAAATAAACCTTAAACCTTAATATTTTTAAACTTTCCTACGTCTTTCAACAATCCAACTAACCAACAAACTTGTAAACTTGTAAACCTTTAAACTACACTTTTAGACCTTAGAACAAACGTTTTAACTTGTAAACCTTCAAATAAACAAGGAAATCTGTAAACTTTTGAATAAAGAAGCAAACCTGTACACCATTAATTTATCCTTTAGACTAGAAAACCTTAGAAAATACCTCTAGACTTGTAAACCTTTGAAATATCCTATAGACTAGTAAATCTTTGATTAGACTTGTAAACTAGTAAACCTTTGAATAACCCTAAAGCTGTAAACCTACAAACCAAACCTGTAAACCTTCAAATCTTTAAGTGCAGTATCCATATGAATTAGGATAGGATTCTAGCACTTAAACCCTTGCAGGAGTTTTTTATCCTACCAGTCCTATGTTCTATTACTTTAACCATTGCTTGAGTATATATCCAACCAGTCCTTTATTCTAGTACTTGAACCCTTGCTGGAGGTTATATCCAACCAGCCCTAGATTATAGTACTTGAACCCTTGCTGGAGGTTATATCCAGCCAGAGTCCTAGATTCTAGTAATTGAAACATTGCTAAAGTATATATTCAACCAGTCCTAGATTGAAATTCTTGAACCCTTGCTGGAGTATATATCCAACCAGTCCTAGATTCTAGTACTTGAACCCCTGCTGGAGTTTATATCCAACCAGGCCTAGATTCTAGTACTTGAACCCCTGCTGGAGTATATATCCAACCAGTCCTAGATTCTAGTACTTGAACCCCTGCTGGAGTATATATCCAACCAGGCCTAGATTCTAGTACTTGAACCACTGCTGGAGTTTATATCCAACCAGGCCTAGATTCTAGTACTTAAACCCTTGCTTGAGGTTATATCCAACCAGGCCTAGATTCTAGTACTTGAACCCTTGCTGGAGGTTATATCCAACCAGCCCTAGATTATAGTACTTGAACCCTTGCTGGAGGTTATATCCAGCCAGAGTCCTAGATTCTAGTAATTGAAACATTGCTAAAGTATATATTCAACCAGTCCTAGATTGAAATTCTTGAACCCTTGCTGGAGTATATATCCAACCAGTCCTAGATTCTAGTACTTGAACCCCTGCTGGAGTTTATATCCAACCAGGCCTAGATTCTAGTACTTGAACCCCTGCTGGAGTATATATCCAACCAGTCCTAGATTCTAGTACTTGAACCACTGCTGGAGTTTATATCCAACCAGGCCTAGATTCTAGTACTTGAACCTTTGCTCGAGGTTATATCCTACCAGGCCTAGATTCTAGTACTTGAACCACTGCTGGAGTTTATATCCAACCATTCCTAGATTCTAGTACTTGAACCACTGCTGGAGTTTATATCCAAACAGTCCTAGATTCGGAATTCACGAGTGTGCATACTTCAAATATACAAGGGGACAGGGGAATAGGGGGGACAAGGGAATTAAGAGGCAGAGAGACTGAGGGGCAACAGCGTGGAGCAAGTATTTACGGAGGCAAGGGAATGGGGGGGGGAAGGGAGGCAAGAGAATAGAGGGGAAGGAGGCACGGGGCAAGGGAATAGATGGGGCTGAGGGGCAAGGTAATAAAGGGGTCAGGGCCGCTAAGGTTCAAATAAGGACGGATAGAAAGTGAAAAAGAGTTTAAAAGAGTATGAAAATAAAAAAAGAGGAATAAGGCATAAAGCAGAAATATAAATAAAGAAGGAGTAGAAAGAAAGATGCTGAAAGCAGAAATGAAGATAGAAAGAAAAAGATGGTACAGAGTTTAGGAGAAAAGGAGAAGAATGAGAGGGTAGGGAAGGAGAAAAATAATTGGGGGGGGGGAATAATTGCTTTGAACTAGCAGAGCTTTAGTTGGAAAATATTAATTTACCACTACTTTCAAGTCCTAAAAAGGCCTGAAAATGCAGCAAAGTGCTTAAAATATCCACAGTAATAGGCTGTTAAATATAATTTAAGAAATAACAAGTTTTTAGTTTTAGCTTAGGCTTATATATCTAAGTAGGTTTCAGTTCAGTTTAGATACTTTATTTTTGTTTATTATGGGGTTAGTTTTGCCCTGGATCAGGTTTAGATTGAGATTTAGGTTTAGTCTTTAGTTAAAATTGGAATAAGGTTCATTTTTGTTTAGGTTTAGGGCTAGTTTTAGTTTGAAATCAAGGAAAGGTTTATTTTTGCACAATAAGGTTTAGGTTTACGCTTAGGTTTTGGTTAAGGTTCAGGTTTTTTTTGGTTTAGGTATAGGTTCAGGTTTTAGTTTAGGTTTAAGTTCAGGTTTTGGTTTAGGTTTCTGCTTAGGTTTATTTTGGAATCATATTTCACAAGATAAATGGTGTAGGGATTAGTCTGTGGGTTGGAATGCTAGAATTTGAACTGGAACTCTGAACATGAAGTTTAATATGGTTCCATGGATACAGAGGGTACTAGACCAGAGGATACAATCCAAGACATACTCAGAAACATCAAACAAAAAGAGTGCAGTCGATACTTTACAATGTACATAGGATACAGTATCAAATAAAATTACTATTACCAAACACTAACGGATACATTTTCTAATGTTTTACTCCCCAAAAATGAAAAAACTGTATTAGAAAACCTAAAATTTCTCTAATCTTCTGATCTAAAATAGAAGAATAAAGAAAAAATTTAAGAAAAAACTAATAAAAATAAAAAGTAAAAATATGACCGATCTAAAATAGCTAATAGCTACTAACTAAATGAAGTTAAGCTGCCAGTAAGTCTGCAGTAGCTCTAGAGTTACCAAGATACCTCAAAAGGTGACTAGATAACTAGCTAGATATCTAGTTAAACAGTGAGATTGAATTTCTAGGTGTGATCCTTTAACCCTTAACCTGCCCCCCTATGGTCCCCTCCCCTCTATTGTCACCAAGCTAAGTCTACAGTCTACAAGGTATTAGAAACTCTATTAATGAATAAGAGCTGTTTAACCCCCGCTGGTAGTAAACTGAAGGCAGTATA